CTAAAATCTTTCATCTTAACATAGACAATGCAAAAGAAGTTATTTAGATTATCTAAAGTGCATATTTATTATTATTATTTCTAATATACCTCAAACTCCCTAAACCATATATCCCAAACATCTTATGAAATTTTCTTCCAAAAAGTATATGAAGCATCATATTTTCTCCTGATGACATATCTAATCTTATGTATAGCTGTTTAAATGGATTAAAGCTATAATACCAATTGAAATTTCCATGTTAGCATAAGTTAACTAGCTTAAAAATAAAGAAAACATTATAAACATACATGCCAATGTCAAGCTCTATATATTTGGCCATATGTAGATGGAAAAGTCCCTTTAGTCATCTTCTCTAGAGGTGTAATGGTTTGAATAGATAGTAATAGAAAGGCTACAAGTATGGAGAATATGGGTATGTAGACAAAATTGTTTGGGATGGTGATGGGCAGTAATATGGATAAAGAGGGGTGATCTACTTTGGATCCAGTGATGGGAAGTGAGGATTTGAAGAAGGGAATTATGGGTTAGTGTGATAGGTATTAGTAGAAAAATTAGAATTGTATGTGGATGCATATTGGGTGAGAACTAGATTGTCCCTCAATTGGTATACCCCTATTTGAAACTGTGGTCAACTTCTTTGGTTAGCAAAACATAGACATGATAGATCTATGAGGAGGCTCATCTTCAGAAGCCATCTGAAATTACAATAAGAGATAATTAGTATTTCAAAAAATCATAATTAAACACAACATTATACTATAAATGAAAACTTACATATAAAGAAAGAAAAAAGAAAACTACAAATGAATTACTTACTTAGCATTCACTCTTCTTTGCTGGAGGAGGTTTCACTTGAGTCCAAAATTTTTTCATTAGCTATTTCATTTTCACTATAACATTGCTAAAACTATAAACCTTATCCAACCATGTCTCACTAATAAGGAAGGCATTTTACTAAACATCATTGACTGGTTCCCTAAAATTGGACATTTTATCTTTTTGATGGGCAATTTGCATCACATTTCATTGCTCAACAAGTACCACGAGGTTTAGTTTTAATGACAATAAGCCAATCTTGTTTATCTCTTTGTTTACTTGGATATGGTGAAGTTGCTTAATTGTAAGAAAAAAGCCATATGCACATAATCTTAATCTAATGTTATGTGGTTCAACAATGAAAGAAGGATGTGTTTATTTTAAGTGTCTCTAGACTTTTGCATTTGATGAATGACTACGTATACATGGTTGAGAAATATTTTCATGGTGCCATCTTATGTGCCAAGTGGAGCTCATTGATGTCAACAATCTTTGAAGCCTTGAAATGATGCACAAAATAAATAAAAAAATGTAATATCCTACAATTTTCAATTTTTTTGTATAAAGGTGCACCGCAACGGTGGCATATTATTTCTGCCAAGTCACCCTTATAGTACAACATGCAATTATTGATCAAGGATCTAATTTTGTACCTATCAATCCCAATTTGTATACTAATTTCTTACTTCTATATAAGTCTGTTGGAATTAAATTATCCACATGATTGACTTCCTTAAGCAGACCTATGAATTCATTAAAGAACTCTCGAGGAATATTGTACTTAATCTTAATGCTAAGCATCATATCGACAATTGATAACTCATAATGAGTGTTGCGTCCATCTCAAATTGGTTGTTAAGCTGTACGTAGAAATTTATAAGAGTTTGCGCATTGGTGTTAGGGGGCTCCTCTCATTATTGCATTTTGAAATTATTCCCAAAATATCATTGGACAAATATTATTGTTTAGAAAAAATCTTTCATTTCAAAATTTTAAAATTGAAAAAAACCAACATCCCACCAAAAACACTCTTGGCCAAAATTTGTTTCTACTCCTCTCTCTCTTTAGCAAATTCTCCTCTCTCTCTTGAAAAAAATCCTATGGCACATTCTCTTTTCAAAATCTTTTCAATGCATTCACTTGGAAGATTAAGTAGATATTTTCTTTCTTCATCTTTTTAAAAGATGAAGTTAATCAAAATATGCTGTGTTTTAAATTGAGTAAGAAATTTTTTAATCATCTTTTTGTTTCATATTTAGTTAAATCCAAAATTGATTTAACTATCTTTTATAATATCTTTTAAAATCAATCATTGCATTTATATTGGTTGGTTTAAAATTTTGATTCATGTTGATGAAAATATTTACACATTGATAATCCTCTTTGTTTGAATTTAGCGATATTGTAAATATTTTACTTTTAACTTAAAAGCCATTTTCAAATATTTTCTTAAAGAACTTATTGTGTTCAAATTTTAATTTTTCATCTTATTGCAAATGGTGGTTGTGTGTGAGCAAAATTATTTTGAAACTTTTGAGAGACAAATATTATTATTGTAAATTTTTTTGTATTTTAAATCTTTTGGGTTATACTCACTTGTTGTAGGAGAGTACATGATTTATTTATTGTGAGGGGTTATACTCGCCTTGTAGGAGGAAGGCATAAAAGTGTTGTAATCTTATGAGATTATTTAGTGGAATCCTAGCCATTGTTTGGCTACGTGTAGATGTAGACCAATTTTGCTACATAAAAATATTTTGCCTCTTATCTTTCTATATTTTCCTCTCATTTTTATGATTGGTTGTGGTTTCTACTTTTCATTTTAATCAAACTTTGCTTTGTATAAAATTTAACGTTAATATTTTTATTTTATAAGAATTTGTTTTTTATGTACCATAGTAGTTCTCATTCTCCCCCTGGGGTCTCTATTTACACAAATCTTTTAGCCAATATGACTACTCCCATAACTAATAAGGAAATTAAGTCCATTGACTTCTCTACCTCCAAATTTACCACTCCTACCCCAAATGATTTTATATTTAAATTATACTTTAGTTCTAGGGAGGTAATTGCCAGTTATATTTGTTCTGCTGCTAGACATTTCTTTAGCAGCAAAAAACTTCCTTAGAAAGCTAAAGCTACCAATATACCCTCATTCCCAAGACCCAACATGTTAGCTATGTTTCTAATTATAAATCTATATATCTATACAATACTTTCTAAAATATTATTACAAAGATTTTAGCCTGCAGGCTCATACTTCTTATGTCATATACTATACATCTTAACCAATGTTGATTTCCTCAAAAATAGTATATCCACATATAACATTATTCTGGTCAATAAACAAGCTTAAATAACTGTGTTTGAGTCATTTATGTTCATGAATAATATCAATTAAAGCTCATTAAGAATTGATTAAAGCTCGATTAATATATAATACAAAGCATGTGAATAAGCTCATTAAGAATTGATTAAATCATGTTATAAATCTTTATTTAGTATATTACTCTTATTTTATAAAAAAATAAATTTGTTTTTTTTTTAATATTATTCTATTTCAATAGAATGAATTTGTTTATGAATAAGGGGTACTTGTTCATTTTTATTCTATTGTTTATTTAAAGTGTTCATGAGCAAGACTGTTTATAAGAAGAATCATTTTCTAAGCTCGTTTGTTCGTGAATGGGCTCGTTTGGTACTTTGAAAATACTCGCTAGATATGTTTATGAATGAGCTCTTTTGATAACTCAAAATACTCACTAGATATGTTCATAAACAAGCTCTAAGTAATTATTTGTTGGCATGCTCGATAAGACTTATTTGTTAAGTTAAAAAAAAATTAGAAATTAACGCTCCTTAATAATTCGATAAAGCTCATTTGTTTAAAACTCAATAAGCACAAAACAAATCAATTATGAATATTTATTATTTAAAAATAAAACTATGATTGCACATAAATATGAAAGCTCGAATTAAACTCGAATCAAACTTAAACCATCTGATAATAAACGAGCTCAATCTTGAACAATCACTTGATCGGCTTGGTTCATTTATGGCCTTAGCTATTCTCTTATTTGGAGAAGTATATGCTCTGACAATATGCCTTGCCTTTGGTATAAGCACAAATATGTCTCTTTGAAAGTTGACATTTGTCAAAAAAATTTATTATCTTTTATCTTTTCGCTTGTTGCCTGATATATCTTTTTATGACGCGAAAGAAATAGTGTGTGTTTTGGCCACATTACCAACAACTTTTCTTCAATTTACTAACAATTTTTAGGGCTATAAGATCTAAAGTTACAGAACGGAGAAAGGTCAATGAGATACATCTTATTTTGGCTTCATTTGGGACGGTTTTCTTTCTATTTTTAAAGCATTTTTTTAGTACACAACTTAAAATTATTTTTACTTGAAAGCTGCTTTAAGAAGCAGTAAGCTTTCCCAAGAAAAATCTTTGTAAAATGCTTTTCAAGCTTGCGAGTACATGAGGATTTTTAGTTACAGGACAATGATGAATGATTCCTCCCTTTCCTTTTTCATTCTACAATTCTTATTTGCACTCAATTGGATGGCCGATTTGGCAACCATGAGTGCAAAAATCTTGGGTTGATCATCAATTATTTGATTGAGTGGAGCATTTTGCATTATACATCCAAATTTTACAATTTTCTTTATAAGATTTTGTAAGCTTTTGTTCTACATTAGTTTTTCCTGAGCCTTGCAAATCTTGTTGGTGGTGCTACAATATTTTTTTGTTTTTTTCCTATTTGAGAGAAATTATTACGTGTTAATCTGACCATCTAGAGACCAATCAGAATACATCACATCACTTGATATACAATGATACACAATAAAGACATAAAATAAATTGGTGACATGACGCGTCCTGATTGTCCTCCGAATAACATCCAGTGTTCGCATATAATAATTCCACCCTATTTGAAGCCCCCTCTAAATCTCTATGATTTTTTATTTCACACATATAATAAATGTATTTATTTAATAAAATTATGTCTTGGCCCTCATATTTACAATTTACCTATATATATATATAACTTATTAAGTGAAAAATTAGCTATTCCTTAAAATAGTAAAAAAGGTTTTAACTGAGAGTGGAAATAACATCGCACGAATAACGATTAAGCCAAAAAAATAAAAGAAAATCTAAAGCATAATAAATCGATTAACCTTCGTCCTGTGGTCGTTCGTCTCTCTCTCTCTTCTAGGTTTGTTTCTTCATTCTTCTGCACAGTTTAACTCAGGAATCTCGGCTTCTTCTGCTATTACAAGAAGCCCAAGACCATGGCAGCGGAGGCGTCGAGGTCAAGCCCATCGCCTGACTCCTACATCGGGAGTCTAATCACTCTTACGTCTAATAGCGAAATCAGATACGAGGGTATCCTTTACAACATCAATACCGAAGAATCCAGCATCGGATTACGTAACGGTAAGCCTCCTCGTTTTCACCCTTGCTTGTTAGAAAAAGCTTCTATGTATTTGTTCAGTCTCTTTGCCATTCGAATAAAGTCGGGTTTTTTAGGGTTGGTCGTGGGTTTTTACATATGTCCGTCTTCTTTACGGGATATTGTCTTCGCAGGGTGGACTATTTGCTTATATTTGTTGTTTGTTTGAATGGTTGAAATCACACGGTATTTTGCCTTTCTTTTCTTTTGACTTTTATTTTTTCTTTGATTTTATATTTTATTGGTAATTTTCCTCTTACTTACACTATTATTGGGAGTATAGGGATGAAAATAAGGTTTTTGGAAGGAGAGAATAAATGGTGAAATTCCTTTCTCTTGAGATTTTTTAGGATGTAAAAGAAAAAAGACTTTTTCTGTTTTAGAATCCGAGTTGAAAGAGAAGAAAGGAAAATAAATATTTAGTTAGAGGAATGCTTTCCAAGATGAGATCATGAGCTGCTCATCTTAACTTATTGGTTGGGAGCTTATGCTTTTAACTAGAAGATCATGAGTCTGAGGCCATATGTATACTTGTATGTGAGTTTACAATTAAATTTACTTTAAAAAAAAAGAGATAATGTGTTGAAGATTTGGCTGAATGATGTAGAAATAATTCCAATGTCCATTTACCCTTTTTTTGGTCATATTTAATAAAATTTAAATAAAGTTCAAGCAATTTAGTTCAATTTAGCTAAACTTTCGCACAATTATTTTGTCCCAGAAAGTATTCCTCACTAAATTGTCACTTTACATTGTAATTCTCTTGACATGTATGATCCTGCCTAGAATTTGGGGCATTTTAATAACTGTTCCTTCATAAACCGAAGGCTAGTTTTGGTATTACGAAAATTTTACTTATCTATAGTCTTTTCTCTCCCCGTGTGGCTTTAAATTGTAGAACAAATTGGGAGCTGTTTAAGAAAATGCTCTTCCATATTTTTTTTCTTTTTTGCTTGTCTTATAGTTCCAATCAAGAGCAATTAAATATTTACTTTTCAATTTCTTTCTATCTTCTCTTATTCTAATCTCCCTATCAAATTTAAGCTATTGATAGAATTGGTCACAACATTTATATGATTGTCGTTATTTGCTATTATAGCATGTATTTTGGGCAATGTTTGTTGCTAGATTTCCTCCACTGTGACCTACAATTCATGAATGAGAATCACAAAAAGGCCTCTTTATAATGCACAATTAGGGTTTTGGGCATTAAACCCTCCCTCGACCATGCATTGAGCTTTATCTACCTAAGGTTGTGCAAAATCTTGTTTGATTCTTCTTTTTTTTAATATGGGGCAATCCTTTGCTTTGCTTCTTCTTTTAAGTCATTTATCGGTTGATTCCTAAGAATTCGACACTTTTAGTTATAGATCCATACACTGTAAATGATTTTTCAGTTTAAAAAGCTTTATTAAATGTAAATCTTCTTTTTTTTTTACCTAGGTTTTGTCGTTTGCTTATAGATTCTTGATAATTTGGACCTTTGGATGTAGGTCCTTAAATTTTTTCTGGCTATCAATTGCTCTAAACTATCAATAAATTTGGACTTAAATACTTGTCTTTAGAGTTTAATACAGTTTTACCATGTCTTGGCCCAATAATGTGCAACTGGGATATTCTTACATCCATCACTGAAGAAAAGTTGATATTATCTTTGATTATGATAATTTTGCAGAGATCCTAGTGTGTTTCAAGATAAGGTTAGCTTTGAGAGGCTATTTTTATGACTCAAGAATCAAAATCTAATTTTCCAAGATAATAATATCATCTTTGGTTATGATAATTAACCAATAATTGTGCCCTTCATGACCTTTTTAATCAAAGCTAGCAGACTTTTTTTTTTACATCCAATAACAAGGCACTTGAGTTTTGATGTCTATGAAGCAATCAAATGGAGGTGTATTGATTCGAAAGGATCTTATTGAAAGGATTTTTTTTGTTGGATAGGAAGTTCAAGCCATTAGGAGTTATGGGAAAATAAGAAAAATCATTAATCAGGCACTTGATGAAGGTAAAAAATTTGGATTGTTGGATGGCAATAATGAGAATATGATAAGGATGATTTTTTAATTTTGAAATTGTTTCATTTTTTGTTTGTATTTTGAATTTAAATCTGACTTTTCTTCTGTTGTGAAGCGAGGACAAGATTGTTTCTTATTTGAGGCAGTTAGTTTGGGAGAAGGTAATAGCAAATTTAATTTAATTTATTTTGCTTTTTTTGTCCTATAAATAGGCTATTACATATAGTAGAAAGTAATTACAACTCTTCCAAAAGATTTCCTCTCTCGTCTTCTTTACTCAACAATCGAACCTTCAACATGGGTGCTGTAGCAACTGTGGATGTTGCAGCGAGATATATACAAATATGGTAGCAAATATTGAGTATAAGGTCAAAGTCAGTTAGGAGTGTTCTACTACATGAAAGTTGATCAATTCTCATATTGTGGACTCTCTTCATCACATAAAAAGTACTGCATTGAATCACCTTCATCCTAAAAAAATTCGTATTGATTCCAAAAGTCTTATGCCCATTCAATTCCAACTTATAATTTGGTATCAAGTTACTAGTTCCAGCCCATAAGAAAACAGCTTTTATGGTTAAATTAAAAGAATTGAGAAGGATACTCTTGGTGATTTAATGGAGCCCAAGGAATATGACTATGAGGTTATAAAATATTGAATGTCTTACCAGCAAGGAAAGAAAAAGATAGCCAGGCAGACCGCAGATGTCTTATCAAATCGCCAGGTTGAAGGAGCAAATGTCCATAATGATGGTTTCTTTGAAACTCTTGCTGCTAAGGTAGCACCATTAATATATGCTCCACTATCACTTGTCCATATAGAATGAGAGCCAACCAATAGAAGACAATAACCTAATGGGGAGAACTCATCAACAAGTAAAGCAGCTGAGAATAATATGAAAAGGAGAGGAAGATCTTCCCTTAAAGGTAGAAGCAAAGCTATGAATGCCTTACTAGTTATTATGATGGAACAACTAATTTGAGGAAATAGACAAATGGTTTTAGAAGAATACACGACAAAATTTAGAAGGCATGCAATTGCTTCAAATATATCATTGATGAAAAATATGTATTTATGTGGAGCAGGATTTCATGAAATATGTAGCTTAAACTTAATGCCTTCAGGTAGCACAAACAAATAAAACTTAAGGAAAAAAAACAACTCTTTTCATTGGGCAAGAACGCTAGATTACAAGTTGCAATTGAAAGATGGAAGAACCTTGAAAGCCTATTCTAATATTATTATCCGATGATGTACTCTAGGATAAAGGGGCCACAATTCTCTTTCATTCCTCAATCATTTTGATCATTTCTCCCTTTCATTCTCATCCCTGGGTTGGTTTGCTTCCTCCTCCTATCTATGCATTTCTCTTCCTTCATTCATGATTATCTTTCTTGATATCTTTGTGGAAGAAGCTCTTGCATCTATGACTAAGAACTATTGTCAAAAAATCTCAACTGATCTGAAGAGAGTTTGACTTTCAACTAATGCTTGAATGGTTAGGTCAATAAAAGAAAAACAAGTTTCTATTTCTAGGTTACGCACAAAAACTATTGCTTGAACTCGAACTCGATTTGAGTTTGAAAAATGGACATATGAAGAGGAAGGAGAAGACTAAAGCTTCAGTTATACGGGAGTAGGATAGTTGACACATCACAACTCAAAAAATTAGGGCACAAACTTAAGGATTATTCAAGTTTATATAAAAAAAGCAGCTAACATTGGAAGAAAATAAGAAAAGGAACCTTACTACTACTTCAGAAGTAGTTGAGCCAGGAGTGGAAAAGGCATATCTTATATTGTCTTTGATGCTGCATTCACTTACCCACGAGGAGGTTATTAAAGAATTGTTCCGTATTAATCTTCATGTGAAATCTACCATTGTTGATTCCATTTTGGATCTAGGTAGTGAAAAGATCCTTATCTCTGCATATTCGTTAGAGAGATTGTTGTTAGTCATAGCATAACATTCCAAACCTTATTATGTGATTTGATTTCAATAGAATAATGTTTCTCATGTCCCTTAACAATTTACTCTTATGCTTATTTTCTCTAGAGATTTTATTGCTGAAATAATATGTGAAGTTGTAATATTGGGCGTGTGTCATGTAATTTTGTGTAGTTCATATTTGTAGGAATGGATGTTATTTACTATAGAAGACAACACAATTTGTGCTTGCAAAGTTGCAAAAGGAGGGGAAAATTATAGAATTAGTCAATCCATTGTTCCACCCTCAGTGGGAATGGTGAAGACAACATGACCAAAGAATTACAAGTGGTCAAGAGCTCTATTTTTGATAAAAAACACAAGACATACGATCCTATTTGATGTTAACAGTTTTTCAAGGTGGATGAATCATCACATAAAATACAAAAGCTTATGGTTACAAGAAAAGAAAGAATAATGTTAAGTGGACAAAAAGAAAAAGAGATCTCATTTGCATGAATAAATGAGCAAAAATAGAAAGCCAGCCGTGATTTGGGAGAATCTTATTGAGTTTTTTTTCTGATCACAAATTTGGATAGGAAGATTAAGTCATCAAGAGTCCACATGTAAAGACATCATCAATTAGATGCCTGAAGATCAAGCTTGAGAATCAATAAATTTGGATTGTTGGATGGTGGCAAGTTCCACAGGAAAAGGATAAGCTTATAATTTTGAACTTATTTTGGATAAATTTGTATTTAGAATTTAAATTTGAAATTCATTATTTTGTGGAGTTATTATAAGATTTTTTTCTTGTTTGATGGAGTTAATTCATGAAAATATAAAGCCGAATTTAATTTAATTTATTATTATTTTAATATTTTTTGCCTATATACATAGTCTAGTTCTTGCAATAGAGAAAGAAATTCTAATTCTCCCGTAAGATTTCCCATCTTACTCTCTATGGGTATTGTAGCAATTTTGGGGCAATATAGCAACCGTGTTTATTGGACTGACTGTGAGTCTTTAAACAAACCATGATTTTTGTAGCAAACAACTATTAGACGACAAAATTAGGTAGGAGTTCCTCGTTAGCAAGAAATCTCAACCATTCTTCTTATTGTGAACTTGCATCATCACATTAAAAGATTGTGGTGAACCACTCTTGTTCTAAATAAGTTTTTAATGGTTCCAAAAGTATTCTGTACATCCTATATTCGAGATCATGCCCACCTCCTCGAAGAAGTTTTAACCTTGATAGGATCCTTTTTGTTCCTATTAGAAATTCCTGCTTTGACTCCACGTATTCAACATATGATTCATGCCGCAACATTTTTTTTTATCTTGTGGCAGATCCAATCATCCCTAATGTTATAGAACTCAACCTACCCAACTGGAAATTATTTTAAGCTATTTGTTTGAGCTAAAGTGTGTTGAAATTGTTGAAATTCTTTTTCCTTGGGCCCTGCTGAAAGCCCAGCCAAGTTAATCAAATTAAATACTGTAGATTTTCTATGATTCGAAGCCTGGTTTCATAGTATCAACGAATTACTTGATTAGTTTATCATTCTGAGCTCATTTTCAAAGAGTAGATTAGGCAGCCTGATTACATGTTTCAGTATAGCTTGAACCAATGACAACCTCATCGATATCATGACATCCTTCACTGAAGAAGATGATATGATGGTTGTTCAGAGATCATGGATATTTCTTCAATATTAATTTAGTTTTGTTTTAGTCAACTTTATTATTTTTATCTTTATTCCTTCAAGCTCGGCCATCTTTGGCTTATAATTTTTACTGTCAAGGGCCTGTTTCAAGTCTGTGGAAGTTTTTTCTTCCACCCACTGAGGTCCTTCTATTCTTGAGTGCTTTGAAGTCATCAATGTGATTTCAATTCTCTCTATCAATATACTGATGATCAGGCTCTAATAATACATCAACTTATAATTCTTGCATCATCATCTATGCATTTAATACTCCTAAGCAGATCCTACCATTCCACGCTATATATACCTCAAACTAGGCCAGTCTAAAGTTACATTGCACATATTAGCTATATTGTGTTGAAAAGGTGGAAGTTATTATAAAAATTATTATAAAAAAGGTATTTCTTAATCAAGTAATATTGCAATTTGATTATGAATTGCACATTTAAGTTCTAAAACTTTATCAGTTTATTATGCTAATGATTTTCAAAGAGTGGTGGCTTGATTATAATGGTCATTATAAGTAACCTCTTGTATTTCATATTTTGTGCAGAACTTGTCCTGCTGTCATGATCCTGAAAGTGGATTTAGTTATCGTATCTGTTGACATATTGGTACCCTTTAGCATGATCTTACAAAACCAGCTCTTAAACTATGTGTTGTTTTTGGAATTATGCTCATGGTGTGGTCGCTTGCAGTGATGCCACTTAAAAACAAGCCCAGCATGAATATTACTTCTGGGGGCTCTGTATTGAACTGAATATTTGAATATTGATATCTGTATTCTATTTTATTATTTGAGTTTTTTTATATGATCCTACATGTTTCATCCAGTTATCTCAATGATTATATTTTATCAAACTGATGTAATTTTAATCCTTAGTAAATTTCTAGTATTTGATAAACATGGATGGTTTTATCTTGTGCTTGGAAACTGTAAAAGATGGCAAACATGAAAACAAACGTGGAAGGAGAATATAATTCTCCTCATAGGAGAAGAGAAGTTCATCTCTGTGTTTATTCGTCTATGCATGGATATTTATAACTGTGTCAAGTAGTTAATCATGGCGAGAAGATCTATCATCTTATATGGCACATCTTCTAATTTTACTCCTAAAAAAACATCACCATCCAGCACCTTATTAATGAACCTTACGGTGACTATTTTTGGCCACCTTTCAAGATTGTTCTTCGTGTCAGTTCCTAATTTAGATTCCAGTCATGGTTTTGGCATCGTTTTTTACTTGGCATCAAAATAAGCCTTTCTCATTACTCCATATTTCACATTCTTAGTTATAAATGAATGAAATCTAAATTAATTGATGAGTTTGCACTGTCATTCTTGCTGATCCTTTATTTGCTCGTTTTATAATTTATATATATGTGGATAATCCAAATTTTAATTGGACCGTAAATCGTGAATATAATTCTTCCATGTCTTTTAGTTTTACCTAAAACTCTGGCGCTACTGAAGGAATATTCTGCTCTTTCTTTTTTTGAAATTCTTTTATTATTTGCTGTGTCAGAATCCATTTCCTTGAGATAGACATTCATATATTTTTATTGGGAGTGCACCCGAAGGAATATTCTTATCGTAGTTATCTTTGTGAATATATATTTTTATAAAGCATTCCTTTTTTCTCTGCGGATTTTTCTACGGTAGCAGGAAGAGATTTAGCTAATTTTTTGGTCTGATTTGCTACCTTCTTTTAGTTCGATCATTTGGAACTGAAGGACGAAAGAAAGATGGATCACAAATTCCTGCTAGTGATAAAATCTATGAATACATACTTTTCCGAGGAAGTGACATCAAGGTACATGGAACAATGATGGCTTGCAAACATGTTTGGGAACAGAAGTTGTTTGATGTAGTTAATGTATTGCATCATATTAACAGCATGAATCTGGAAGTGATGAAAATGTAGTTTTAGGAGTATTTTCTACTTCCATTTATATTCCTTTACTTGTTTTTGATCAAGAAGCATCAAAGATCTGTAATTCTTTTATAGCATTTTGTTGCATTTTTTATTATGTTCTAACCTATTGTCTTCTAATCACAGTCAACTTAATAGCTGAAATTATGGTTAAATGAAATGACCCAATCATCCAGCAGCTGCCATGATGATTTTAGGGAAATTTTTATGCAGTTGCTCATTTTTGGCAGAGCTTTTAACTAGACTAATATTTTTGAATCTTCATAGCAAACTCAATTTTTAACAATGCAATGCAGGCTTCTTTTGTAACTAGTTTATTATGTGGCAGGTTTGAACTTTGAATGAGCAAAATGCATTTATTTTAGCAGTCTTGGGTTCCATCTTGTGAGGATTTCATTCTTGTTGGCCTTTGGAGCATACATTTTTATGACACAAAGTAGCGTGCGACATGGCTCGACACAACGCACCCTCGACGCCATTTAGTTGGCCTGCTTATGTTCAAAATGCAAATGCCATTTGCACCATACAGGAGCAATGTGCATGACACAAAACCTAAATGACGTGTGCTTTATTTTTGGTTTTAAATTTGAAATTAACATTAATATTTATATTTATTAATTTATCATTTATTTAATAACTTAATAGTACCGCCATTTCATGTTAATGTGCTGTAATTTCTAAAAAAGACGGCTTATGTTATTTATGAAATATCTTTTACATTTCATCGAATCAAGTGATATCACATTTGTGTTATATGTTATTCACCATTTCATTCACACATTTATAATAAAGATAAAATGTTTGAATACATTTTGCTTATGGGCATTCGAAAGAATGTCACATATAGTTTAAACCAATATTGCATGAAAATATGTAAGATTGACCAATGAATGTGATAATAATTGTATGATGTGTATTTTTGTGGTAAATGAAGTGGATTATGAACTAGGAGATGATATTGATGAAGGAAATGATGCTTTTTTAACATTTGATGATGATGATGGCGATTACTAGGAAGATTAGTTTAATTTATTACAAAATAAATAGACTTGAAAAATGATTACAATATTTTGAATTTTCGAGTTATTGATTACTTGAACTTAAACATCAATTTGAATGTTTTTAATATCATGATGATTTATCTTTTTATTTAATAATATTTTACATGAATATATATTTTATTTATAATTATTTAATATTGTGCATCATATTTAAAATGACGTGTGTCATGTTGTGCACTATGAGCTATGGCTTTATGGGAAACTTTGGCCATAGTGTGCCTTTTGCTGTTAATAAGTATGTTTTGGAGTTTGATGATACTAGGGACCTGAGGTTATGGTGCCTTAGAATAGTGGTGTTGGAGCACGACAAAAAAACCAAGGGACCTGGTTGCAATTGTTGTAAAAAATAACAGCATATATAGAAATTTCCCCTGATCTTATTAAGCGCACTTGTCCTTCTCGTTGAAGTATGTTCCTTGTTTGCACTTTTTTCCCTTCTCGGTGAAGTATGTTCCTTGTTTTCTCTTCATACCTCCAGGTCATTTCACTTTTTAGAATAGTGATTAAAGAATGTAGACAAGGACTACAAACATGCACTTAGATACATTTAAGTGCATTTCTTATATCAGAGGAAGCAAAAGAGCCATACATGACATCTCACTGAAGAGCCTATTTGATCCTAACCTCCATTTGTGCACCCATCATCGTGCACATTGTAGCTTTATGCGATGATTTTCTTCAAGTTATTTCAAGAGCTCTGAATCATGTGCATACAAAAACTATGATTTAAATTAGAAGCTGTTGGCTGAAATCAAGTTTTAAGTGATGTGATAATTTGATGGAATCTTTTTGAATTATGCTTTGCCATGGGGTTGGGTGCCAAAACTTTTTGGTAGAAACTACAATCAAAACATATTAAATGTGCTAATGTGGTAAAAAAGTGTAGTGGTAAAATGCATAAATTCAGGATAGTGCAAAGAATAAAGATAACCCACATGCAATTTGAAGTGGTTTGTTCCCAACTTATTTACGTCCATGCCAAGCGCCCTAACCCAATAACTCTTTTGCTCGCACATTGGTGAAGAAACACTTACACTGCTTCTTACTTTACCAGGGAAGAGCGCCTAACTTTGATTGCGAACAAGGGCACACCTCTACATCTTGTCCAAGAGACTTGTAAAAGGAAATAAAAAACTGAAAAAATAAAAAAGTTACACGATTGAAGACATCTTACACACTTTCCATGTGTGGAAAAAAGAATGTTGAAGCGTGTTTATACCTTGAAAAATCTGAACTCAAGCTCTTATTTTATGGAGAGAAAAATGATTTGCAATGTAGATTAATCCTTGTGATTTAAAACTTATTTAGTTTCATAGCCATGGGTTTAAGAGACAACATCGAACAACTCCAATGAAATCTCTAAGCATCATGTTCAAAGAACAACAACTAGGAAATAGAACCGTTACAGTACCATAGCCTCTTAGCAAAGATTCTTTAATGTTAACAATGAGCAGTTAAGTTAGTGGAGGTCCGATAAATCCGTCCAAAGATACACAAACACTTAAAAGTGGATTGTTAAGTTAGCAGCAGTTTATTAAAGAATTATTAGTGCCTCACAAGCCGAAATATTGTTTTTATTGATTTTAAAGTATGTAGAGTACACTACTTTGCAAAATAGCTATTATATATTGTCCTTAGCAGGATATAGTGTAGAATATATATAAGCTATTTTTCAAAAACTATATGAATTAGAATTATTAGAGCATGAGCTTAAGTGGTCCTAAACACATTCATAATTTTTGTACACATGCAGAAAAAAAAAATAGTTTAAGTCTAAAGCTTGCTTCATGTTGATGCCATGGCCCGATGGATTTATCCATTGATAATTACTTCAGTACCCGGACTGAGCTCAAACAACCAACCATTTCTAATGTGCATTTGTTGTCATCAAAATTGAGCTCACAAGAAATGTTTGTTCGTGTGGTTAACAACTTCTTGGTCTTTCCATCTTTTTTTCCTTTTTGTACTTATTATTTTTTATTTGGCCTTTAGTTTGTCAGGGCTTGAATCATGTGGTTTCATTAGTGATGCTTATGTTCAACATAGGCATTTCCCTTTGATGTCAGCTTCAGAATTATTGCAATTAGAGGTTCATAGATTCTAGTGAATGCTACCATTTCTATGTTCTGAATCATTTCAATTGCTTTTTTCCAGGATTTACAGGTCAAGACCTCACCACCTGTTCAAACTACACCTGCTCACAATGATCCCGCAATTATTCAGGTGATGCAGAGTTGGCTAATGTGAATCTTCTGAAGAGCGTTTAATCATTGACATGCAATTTTTTGTGCAGTCTCATTATCCTCGACCCCACGCTGCCTCTTCAAGTCTGCCGCCTCTTGGAACTGGAACCACACAGGAGCTCAGTTCCCACTCAGGACAAGTGGGACTTCACCATCCAACCTTTCAAGGCAGTTTGCCTCCATATCATACTGGTGGAAACCTAGGGTCTTGGGGCCCCACACCACCTCCACCAACTGCAAATGGTTCTGGGCTTGCAGTACCACCATTGTTTTGGCAAGGATACTATGCACCCTCAGGAGGGCTTCCTCATGTGCAGCAACCTCCTCTAATGAGGCCACTGCCTGGGCTTGCTATGCCTCCAATGCAGCAGACTCTGCAGTTTCAGGGCATGAATGCCTCTTTATCTTCTGGCGCTCCAAGCTATCCAGAATTCTCTCCCTTGTTTCCAACTGTTAACAGCAACATGAGTTTAAACTCTACTTCTATTCCATCAGCGTTAGCTGCTTTCCAAGCTACGTCATTTTCTCCTGAGATCTCACAAAGTTCAGTTTCAATTAAGGGCCCCATTACTGCTCTTCCTTCGGTGACCTCAAGTGGAAGCTTGCCATCAGTGTCACAGAGTTTATTTTCAATTAAGGGTCCCATAACGTCTCTTCCTTCGGTGAACCCAAGTGGAAGCTTGCCATCTGTGTCCCCATTAACTCCAGGCATGGAGAATTTCATACCCTTGTCACAAAATATACCGCCTGTTCTTAGTGGAAAGCCTAGGATTAGTTCTACTACCTCTGTGGCTCATCAGACTGAAACTCAGTCTATTCCGTCCACCATTGGTACATCCAGTTCAAACCAAGCTGAAACGTCTAATAAGTTGCTGACTCCTGGTCAACTAGTGCAGCCTAACTCTTCTGTATTGCCTTCCTCACAAACATTGGAGAAGACCTTAAAAGCAGTGGAGGTTAAACCACAGGAAGATAAGAGTAAACCACTGTTACCTGAGCCTCCAGCATTTCAACGAGAAGCTAATAAAGCTAAGTCACCAGCTGTGGTGAAGGAGTCAATCCTGCCACTGCCTACTCCTGTTTATCACAAGGTTTGGCCATTTCCTCTTATCGATATAGGGATTACACTTACCTAGAACTGTTACGAACTGTTAGACATACGCTATTAATCAAATATATTTTAATGGCATTACTATAGTATGTGCTGGAGTCTTGCATAATTGCCAATGCAGATGTTTTTACTTTCATTTTGTTTTCCTTTTGAGACACTGAGAACTCCTTTTTCCTATTCTCCTAGCCTAGTGGCGGGGCAGCAGATATTAACCGACATCTTTTTATCAGGAAAACTGAAACTTTTTATTGGATCTTAAAAACAGTTACTCATTAATTTATACTTGTAGCACTGTGCTGTTTTTGTTATCTTATTATTATTGTATAAAATTTAAAATCGTTTTTCGGTCACTGTTGCTTGTTAAGGCACGACATGATCAGATATTTGATCCGGTTCATAGATAGTAATGCTAATAAATATATACAATGGAAACACAGGTTAGTACTGAATAGGCTATGTGTTCGAACACTTTTAAAATGAAGCACTCTTCTTCCTATGGAGATCAATCGTATCCTTTTGTTTTAAGCTAGTTTCAGGCTTAATTGATGGAGAAGTTGATATTTAGGAAATGAGGATCTGCTTCAAGTGTTCATACTGATGCTTTTCTTAGTCTGCAATTATTGGTGTGTAAGCCATTCCAAGTAATATTTCACAGCCATTTGTGAGTATATAATCAGTGATACTTATGCCTTCCATAAATGTATTGGTTGCCGTAAATGACATTGGTTGAACTTTCTAATAATATGGCCATGGATTGTGCTTATACTATTGAGGCTTTGAAACTTGAACTTTGTGACATGACGAAGGATTCTATATTGTGACAATTATGCCATCAATGATGAATGTAAATGATACTTGTAGAGTGAAGTATTGCTAATTGGAATTTAGTTTTAAGACCACTGCATTGTAAAATTGAGGAATATGCTATATTTTTAAATTGGATTTATGGGCTCTAAAAAATTGCACCCCAACCTCTCCATGATTTTTTGTTGAAGAGGAGAGTTTTAACTGATTAGATTTTGGGTCAAATTTTCAGAAGGCATTATATTTGAGAAAAGACATTACCCAGAGATTTAGTTCTCATTTTGCAATGATTTTATGAACTGAGTTCAGGTTTCCAATAGGCGAAAACACCTATGATTAATTTCTCCTCCCAATGACGAGAGATAACTTTTGATTAAGGCTAGTCACTAGATGGACACTAAGTGACTGGTGTATAATAGCAAATTTTTTTTTAATTTGGACTTTTACTTACAAGATTTGAAATTTATCATCGTATACTTAAAGCAAATGGTGGGGGGCATGATGACAAAGCTCAATCAAGATCCTATGATTACGTTGTCTCAGGTTGTCATAGAGTCTATAGTCTAATTAGTTAAAGGAAGTAGCTAACCCGACCTGGCTGAAGGATTCTTGTGGGAAGCCATGGGTTGCTTTGTCTAATGGCACTTTATAGATTTGAGGTGAATGTTTGTGTAAGGGGATAAATTTGAATCTATCCACTTTAGACACACTTTTGAGGTGCACATGCTTACTTTTCAATGCACTTGCATGATGCATTTGTATGTTCCTTAATGCTTTTGTATGATGCATTTGCACTTTGCTCAATGCACTCATATAATGCATTTGAACACTCATTAATGCTCTTGTATGGTGCATTTATATGATTTTCAAAGTGTTATGTTTGAGGTTGAAAATTATTTTGCATTGTGTACTTGATTTGAAAAAGTGTTTCTCAAAGTAGTAGCATTTTCTCATGCAATTTTATGTTTCTTGAGGTTGCTCCAGGCTTCTCATAACATTGCATACTTTTCTCAGATTTGAAAATTACATTTTAGTGCGCATGCGATTTTAAAAATATTTGAATTTTATTGTTTGTGCAAAATGTGTCATTTAAAAAGACAATATTCCATTTTGTGATTAGACTACGCCTTTTGTTCCCTTGCATGTAGTATTGCAGATTTGGCGGTGAGATTTAAAATTCATTATAAGCTCCCTACGAGTAAATGTATTTTTGTTCATCATTCGCATATTGTTCTTTTGTTGCTTCTTGTATTGCATTTTTGGTATTTAATTTTGCAGATTCATTGCTTACATGAATTGCATTTTTCTTAGTTTTAGGTTCTATGTAGTGCAGATTTTTAGATTAAATCAGTTGGAATTTCCATAGTTTATTGGCGAATCCCCCACATTTGAGGAATCTATGGAGAGTCTAGGACTAACTATCAGGCCAAGAAATGTGTGTACGGCCGGTGTCTCACAACATTGTGATCTAAATTCTCAAAATTTCTCACAATGCCAAAAAAGGCATGTATGGGATATCTAAACGGCTACACAACAAAATACATCATGTAAAATACCTGGTGGTGTCGTGCACTCTGCTAACGAGCTTTCTCTCATAACATTAAGAAAAATGTATGTGAGGCTCTACCCATAGCATTGAACTCTTTGTTAACGAGATCCATCTTCTACAATGCGAAGTTGCCGATGAAATTTATTATCTTGTTATGAAAAATGTGTACAGTGATACACTCGCCTTGCCGACCCCGAATGAGTCGCTAATAGGGTCCACCTATGGCATTGCGAATGTCGTTAATGAGTTTCATCTCCCCACGCTAAGAAAAAGGTGTATTGCGCTCCACTCTCACACTAAATACATTGCCGTGGGTTTCGGGGGGCTACCCCACTATATTGTGCTCATTGTTGAAAAATTTCCTCTTGCAATGCTAAAACTTGTGTGTACGAGGGTCCACTCGCTGCGTCAAATGCGTCATCGATGAATTTGGGGGGTTTTTAAGTTGAGAGGAGTTATATACTTGCACACATGAAAGTGAGATGACAGTGAGGTGCCAATGAGGTTACAAGTAAGTTAACACAAAAATATAATATATATGTATTTCGTTTCTTTTTTTATTTTATAGTAAGATGTCAGATGAGTGGAGAATGAGTGTGTGTTGATTTCTAATTTTAAGAATAAAGGTGATGCACAAGAGTGTGCAAATTATAGATGAATTAAGTTAATGTGTCAGACATTAAAATTATGGGAGAGAGTTATTGAGCATATGCTATGACATGATACTATTTATCAAAATCAATTTTGATTCATGCCGAGTAGGTCTACTTTGGAAGCTATACATTTATTGAGAGATTTGATGAAGAAGTATAGAAATAATTAGGAGGATATCCATATGATATTTATTAATTTAGAGGATATATGATAAAGTTTCAAGAGAAGTGCTTTGGAGAGTTTCTTATTCTTGTTTGTAAGGGAACCCTGCCTTCTCTAATTCATTCGACACGTGCAATCTCTTTTTCATTCCTAGAACAGAAGTTCATAATGCTTATATTCATGTCATTAAGGATATGTACTTTTGTTCAAACACAAGGTGGTTTGTTCAAGTATTTTCCTCTTTTTATTGGATTACATCAAGGATCAACTTAAAGCCCATATCTCTTTGCTTTAGTCATGGATGTTCATACTAGACGTTTGCAAGAGGATGTATCCTGGTGTATGATTTTTTGTTGATGATGTTCATCTTGTTGATAAGACTAGAGAGAGAGTTGAAGGAAATCTTGAATTATAGATGTCAACTTTAGAGTTTAAAGGTTTTAGTTTGAGTAGATCTAAAACCAATATATAGAGTGTAATTTTAGTAGTAATAGATTTAATGGGGGATTTTGATTTGGGCGATCAAGTCATTAATAAGAGTACACATTTTAGATTTCTTGGGCTATTGTTCAAAGTGATGGTGAAATAGATGGCGATATTATTAGTAGAGTTTCAAGTTGGATGGTTGAAGTTGAGTAATGCATCAGGCCTGTTGGTGATAGAAAAACATCCCTTAAAGGAAAATTTTAGAAGATGGTGGTGAGACTGACAATACTTTGTGATGCAAAATGTTGGCCATTAAAAGAGAAGCATAAACTTAAGTATTGCAGAGATGAGGATGCTCAATGTGGATTAGTGGCTTGCGCAGAATGTTGGCCAATAAAAGAGAAGTATGAAATTAAGTGTTGCAAAGATGAGGATACGCAGGTGGATAAGGCTTCATTCTTAGAGGTAATGCGAATTAAGTATATTCGTGAAGAGGTTGGAGTAGCTCCATTGGCATATAAGCTTAGAGAAAGTCGCCTTAAATAGTTTGGACACATAAAACATTGTATTTACAATGACTTGATTATAAGAGTAGATATATTAGATTTGGCTAATGTAAAGATAAAGTTAGGCCTAAAAAGAGTTGATTAGAGAATATTATAAATGATATTTTTTTACTAGATTTAAATGAGAATATGACTCTTAACAGGATACAATAGAGAAAAATGATTCATGTAGCCAACCCCATATAGGGGGGATAAATGTTTGATGTTATTGTTGTCTTTCTTTTTATTTGAATTTTTTTAGAGAGAATGTTTTCTCTTTGATTTTTAGTGAGAAAAAAAAAGGGTGATAGAGTAAGGGCTGGAGAGGAGGGATTTGGTGGAGAAAGAAGGAAGTGGAAGAGTAAGAAGGGGGAGATGGGCTGACAGTTAGGGCAAGTTGGCGATGGCATGAGAGATAGGAAGATAAATATCTGCTTTAAATGTTCGTTAAAATTTCGTTGCTTGTACGTCTTGAATTTTGCCTCATTTCACGCGCTTAAAATTTTGATTTTTATCTATAAAAAACCTTTGCCAATATGGATATTGATCTTAGCTATTTCAATTGTCCCGAACGTACTGGCGGTGTTCATTTCGTGAATGGATTTCATTTTAGTGATGGTGACTTTTGGTCATTGAGTTTCAGACAAGTTTTTTGCAACGTCGTACCGTTCACTCGTTGCTTCACCATGCTTTGTCATGTAGACTGCGGCATGGTTATTGGGTCAATATCATTATTTTTCATACATTCATATGCAACCACCTTATGAGATATCCTAGGCTTTGCTTGGATTGTATGCATCCGTAGTCTATTATTCAGATCATTATTTTGGTAGTTAGACTTATTAGTAAGGATATGCGCTATTGAGGTCATGATCATATCACAAATTGCCTGAATCCTTACTTTCTCACTTCCTATCCATGATGCATCAATACGGATACTTCGACATGGACACGACATGATATGGGACACAGAATTTTTAGAAATATAGGACACAGGTGTGGCGTGGACACGACATAATAATTTTTTAAATATAATATATAAAAATTTAGGTGACATCTTATTAGAAATGACAAGTAATAATAAATCAATGTCATGATAACTTGTTTATTTTATAACATAAAAAAATTTAGTACAAAATCTCTAGTACAACCACAAAAATATAAGCAAAAAATCATTTAGTACAACATGAAGGTTCAACTACTCAATAGAGGGAATGATAGAATTAGATTCAGAGTTTGGTCTTTGGCCTTCAATATCATCATCATTGTATACATTGCTTCAAACTCTGGTTCATCTAGAGAAAGATTTGCAACCTACAATAATCCTATATCATCAAGGCACTCGAACCCATCTACCATCCCACATCTTGTTATCACCTGTCATATAAAATGGGGTTTTCCATGATAAAAGACAAAGATTTGTATGCACATAAACTATATCTTCAGCTCGTTGTGGAATTATTTTATTCATCTTCATCGATTTAATAGATGAGTATGTGCTCCAATTTCTATCACAACTAGAAGAGGATAATACTTGACCAAGAAATGTAATTGCTATTGTTTGAAGAAGCGTACTGAAGCTCCATGAATCAACTACCATTTTTTTGGATCCATCATCCATCTATCAACCAAAGATTCTTGATCACCAAAATCCTCTAAATATGCAAAGAACTTTGCAAGTTATATTAATCTTTCTTCTCTCCTCATTTGGGAAATATCGTTTCAAGCATATATTTCTTATATTTAAAGCTTCTAAATCTTTTTGTGATGAGACACGTTGAGGGTCTTCTTGAAGCCATTCTGTACTTGAATTCCTTCAAATATTATAAAGCATATAAAATTATTTATTCATTTACAAGAAATTAAAAATTATTTTAAAAGATGAATACAAATGTAATTTGGATTTAATGAATGAGCCAAACAATGCAGAGGTGTGTTGCTTTTGCTCCACCTATACTCAATAATGGTATAGACAACGCTCCAAAAACTTGAGTCTTCATCGTGTGACTTTCTTTCATGTATGTATATAATTTTTTTCACTTTTTCTAAAATAGAGTCCCACATCTCATAAATCAAATGTAGGCATGATTTATCTTTATCAATCTCTCAACATATCATAAATTGGATCAGTGAAAGCTAAAATGTAATCCACATTATACCACCACAAATCATCTAAGACATTTTCTTTCACATACCTTGCCTTACCAACGTCATCTTCTTGATAGCAAGACCACTTCTCACTAATCACCATAGATTGAAAAATATTTTTTATTTGTTTGAATCTTCTCAACATGATTATTACAGAGGCAAAACGAGTTCAACAACAGCTAACATTCTCAAATGTGAGAAATCATTAAACATTGAAAGTCTCATTGAGTGGTTCATGATGAAATTTTTTATTAGAACCACATCATCTGCATCCATTGTTATCCAATGACATTTAACATAGATGATTTCATTAGCCTCTATATTATTTGCTGGACAAATATTTTTATAATAAGATTTATAGTGTGCACAACACATGGAGTCCATAATATATGAGGATAAGTTTGCTCCACCAATAATCCTACAGTTCTACACATCGGTACAGTATCTGTAATAACCTGCACAACATTTGAAGGTCCAATCATGACTATCACCTCTTTAATTAAATGGGTAATGAAATATTTATCCTTGTATTCTCATTCACAATTCACAACTTTAATGAATATTGGGTAATTCTTTGTGACGGTCATGAAATTAATGAGTGGTTTTCTTTGAGGATCCGTCCAACCATCACACACATCAAGCTGACACTTTTTTCTTTCCACACTCCTTTCGTTGGTTCAAGCAATGTTTCAATATGTGCTGTTTCTCTTTCCAGTAAGTTTGATCTGATTTCATTGTAGCTAGTTGAAATATAACCTGTAAGGTTGTTATTACATGCAAAAGTGAATGCATTTTTATAATAAGGGTTTCTTGCAAGGTTGAAAGGAAGTCCCGCTGAAAAAAACATCCTTGCAATTTCACCATTTAATTCCTCTCGCTGTTGCATATTAAAAGCCTTCTCTAAAAAACTACTAGTAGCTCCTTTTCTTTTCTTTGATTCATATCCTTCACTTCTAAATGATAATGAATGATCAACTCTAACAAATGAGGAAGAAGTTTGGGATGAACCATGTGTGAATGACAAAAGTATCTCTTTAGGAAATGCCCTTTTGATCCTAGGTTCCGCTTTATCAACTTGTCTATTCATTTCAATTTATTGAGACATAGTAATCTTAGGACACATTTTAATTTTATGGCCAACAATCTAAAGCAAATGTGCTTTCATCCTATAATATGATACTTTGTAGGTGCCACCACTATAATTGCATTTGAATGACATATTCCCTCCTCCAAATATTTTTCCTAACTTGATAACATGATTCCATAATGACTTATCAGTTTCTACATATGACTCTTTTGAACCTTCGGCTAATCCACTCCCATCAACATTGGAGCTCATTTTGCTTCTAAATGCACTGGTTAAATGGAACAAATAAAGGCTTAATAAATTTGCCTCAAACTCATTTCAATAAGAAAAATACTTGATTTCATAAAGCTCTATCACATTAGATATTTTTTTGGAAATAACATTGCAAGTAAATTAGTAAAAGCATGAAGCTTTCTCAATCTTAAGGAAGAAAATCCATGAAGAAAATTTATATATACTCTCTCAAATGTAAGAAAGAACACTCAAAACTCATGAAGAACATTTGCATATATTCTCTTAAACTTAAGATAAAAAACTCATGAAGAACATTTGCATATACCCTTTTCATCTTAAGGAAGAAAACTCAATAAACATACATATACTCTTTCAACCTTAAGATAGAAAACTCATGAAGATCATTTACATGTACTTTTTCATCTTAAGAAAGAAAGCTTATGAAGAACATTTGGATATTTATATATATATATATATATATATAAACATAAGAAAGAAAGTCATAAAGAACAAAACTCATGAGCCTAGACTTTTTTCCAAAACCCAAAACAAGAACAACCTACAATCTACAACCTAGGGTTTGATTTAGGAAAAAAAAAGAACAACTGCACAACCTACAAACTAGGGTTTCATTTAGGTAGTTTTTTTCCAAAACCCAAAACAATCAAAATACTTTCTGGAAAAAAAAATTCTCTTTTGAACAGAAATCTCCACGAAATCATTGAGAAATGAAGAGAAATTGTGAATGAAGAAAAAATGGCGAAATCAACTTATAGGGTTTGGCTACGACTTATGTAGAATGTGTACAAAAATTGAAAAAAAAGGGGTTTGGCTATGACTTTCCTCGGTTGCACGCAAAAACAAAGGAGGAAGAATGGGAAGGACTACTCGGGACGGCCGGAAGGGGAAGACGACGGGTGCACAACTGAAAGAACCTCGGAACTGATTGCAGTGAAGACCTCCGCTGCTAGCCTCAATCGCTCGAACGAATGCAAATTGCGGGATAGGGTGTTGGGCTCGGGATTGAACTAGTGTTTATTAGTAGTTTTTTTTTTTTAAATTTAATTATCAAATAGCCGGACACGCATGTCCGACTTATTTATTTATTTATTTATTTCAAAACAGGACACACAAATGACGTGTCCGACACATGTCCCCGCCGTGTTAGACGAGTGTCCGACACTACATTCTCTCTTAAAACATAGTGTCGGTGCATCAAAGCTTCATATCATCTAAACTTAGTCTTTTAGCTCCAAGCCATTGTGTCATCCTGTGGGCAGTGCATTTAGGTTAGTTATTTTATTATTTTTTTATTTCATTTGAAGCAGTAATAAGTGACAACTCTTGTCTAAATATTTGGAGATTTTTCTATTCATTAGAAAAGAACTCTACATACACGCCTCTCTCTCTCTTACTCGCAAACAACTAGTTACCATACAAATTTGACCCAAGGGCCATTATTTTCTTTTATGTTAAACCATGATTATGTTTTATATACCTCATGTCTGAAATAATTCTTAATTAGATTTATTTTCATCATCTTTATTTCGTATACATTATAATTGTATACAAATTGATTAATTGCAGTTCACATTATTCGTTTAGAATTGTTTCTATATGCAATTAACTTTTAAATGTTTCTGCCCATTTGCAGCCAAATGGCGCCGTTTCAATCACTCATGAAGGCAACAGGGGGCGTGGAAGAGGAAGAGGAAGTGGGGTATTGGCATTTTTTTTTTCTTGCATCTGTTTACTTTCATCTATGTAGTTTCAGAATAATGTTTTCTCATTTTCAGTAAATTGGTATCCTTTGACTTGCCCTCTTACCATAAATGTTTGACTGTCTCATATTCGTTCTTTGCATGAACTTTCTTAACTTGGATATTTATAGGGTCTTTAAAATATTAGTCTTAATTAATTTTTGGGTTTGTGAATATTCTTGATTTTTTTTGCTTTAATATTGGGGCGTGCATATTGTTTGTTTGGGCTGGGGAAATATTCAAGCATTTTTTCTTAACATCAAAGGTTGAGAAAATAGACTTTTAAAATTTTATTTGTTGATCACAAATGTGTTGGAACCTTTTTTCTTCTACCTGTAAACTTCTTTCACCACATTGAGGATGTTAAATGCCTTGGTTATGACCAGATTATAAAGAACTGACTATTCAAAAGGCCAATCTATCTATGTCAGACATGAACATACCTCCAACACATTTGATGAGCTTACAATCATGTTGAACACATTTATTTGAAAGAAATAATTACAGTATTTATTTTAAAGAACTAAATAAGACATGGTTGGGACACCCCAACAACACTATGGACACCCCGGAATTGTCGTGACATGCCTAGAAATAACCCAACCATATATTGTCCCATTATACTGGTAATTTAATATTGAAGTAGCTGATTTAGGCCAGTAAATAGTTGGTTCGATCATCATTCATGCCATGAGTCGGCTGGGGCTGTTACTTTAAAGTAGTCCATGATTCAAGGCCAACCACAGCCACACATTCCTCTTCTGCAAGCTTTATTTTAATTGGAAAGATGCAAGGTGATATCATGAATCCTAGCTTCTTTCGTTAGATGCAAATTCACCTAACTAGGAGCTTTTGCTGTTGGTTTAAGTTATTGAGATTCTCTTACTCTTCAACAAATTTATCTTTTATGATACATTTCCACGCTTCCTTTGTTATTTCACAGATTTTTCCATACGTTTTTTGGGTTTCTACATGTTGGCTTGTTGTTTCCATCTATTGCATCTCTATTTATTGTCTCATAATTGCAACATTTTTATTCTCTTGTGCTCATTTTGCTTTATTGCGTTTTTTTTTCTGCTTTTCCCCTATGCTGGATCAAAAATTAGGTGCACTTTATGCCTTTTCTTGAGTATGCTTGTGAAAGTGGTTGAAAGTTATGTTTGGAATTGTGTTCAAGTATTTGTTTTGCTGAAAATCAATGAGTGTTTGGAACTCCCTCCATGAAGGTGATAAGTGTGCTCCAAACTTTTCAATTATTCAGGCTTGAAATCCTTTTTCAGTTTTGTTTTTATAACAATTAAATATGATTTAGGAAATCTTCCTAAACAATTAAATATAATTTAGGAAATCTTCCTAAACAATTAAACATAATTTAGGAAATCTTCCTAAACAATTAAACACTTTATAAATAGCATAAACGTAATTAGGAAATTTTTCTAAACAACTACCTCTTGATTAGGGGACCTTCCTAAACATTCCCCCTTAATTAGGAATCTTCCTAAACAACTCCCTCTTGATTAGGAACCTTCCTAAACAACTCCCCCTTAATTCCTTACATAATAAATAATAGCTCCCCCAGCCTAGCTGTGGCCCCCCTTGGCGTATCATATATCTGCTCGATGTTAGGGTTGTGAGGACTTTGGCAAAGAGAGCGAGTCATACTTTTCATCTTATCCGAGCATGTATGAGCTTATCGAGAGTCTCTTGCAGGAAAGAGAGGTCGAGCTAAGTGCAAGAGTATTTGAGTCGATCTACAGTGGGAGGAAATTCAATCAGGAGTCTCTTTGTTTAGGTAAGTTTATTTTTTTTTAGGTTTTCTCTTATTTCTTTATTTGGATCTTCATCTTGTTGAAAATTTGGCCTGGTATTGTGGTTTTATATTAATATCGGGATTTGATTGAGAGCGATAAGTTGTGTTAACATTTAAAATTGAGATTTGTTGTTTATGTCGTTATAATGATGAACTAAGTAAATATGTCAACATGTCATATTTATGAATTATTTTAATTTTATGAGTTTTATATGTTTTTGTTTTGATGTTTATGCCTCAATTCACTTTGAGGCTTATGCTTTGCCTCGCTAAAGCTAGATGTTTTAGTTCTCGTTTTTTGCTTTCTAATTCTTGATAAAATAACATAAAATTGAAATTAGAAAGAGTTGGAATGCTTTTCTTTCCCCTTATAAAAATAATAAAAAAATAATTTCTAAATTGTTTGGAATGGGTTCAAATGAGTCCTACTACTATCTGGGCGAATGTGTGAGACGTTTGCACGTTTGCAAAACAAACGAATATCATTAAAACTCAATTCAATGAAATTCTAATTCTGGATATCTAGGAGTCTAGAGTTACTATTGCACCTAGGATGATGCAATAGATGGCAGATCATATAAAAGAAATTATGATTTATTGATTTATGCAAAAAAAAAAAAAAACTTTTCATGTTTAAATTTAAAAGAAATATAATAAATTTGATAGAAAAAGACAATGCACCAATCAGTAAAATTTGAAGAAATCAATATTAAATTTGAAATATAAAATTTAACGAGTAATTGATTTTTTGTCACACATTAATATCAAGCTTTATCCAACTACGTGGGATCATTAGCTATATGAATCCTTTCTCTCCATTGTATTCTGTTAAGAGTCAAATTTTATTTAAATTTAATAAAAAGATCATTTCTAATATTTTCTTGCCAAGCCTTTTTAGGTTCATCTCTACTTTTCTTAACATAGGCATTTGATGTAATATCGATAACAAATATTTTAGTTGTCATGAATTGATTAAATTAGGATTGGTGTAATATCGATAACAAATGTTTTAGAAGAAAATATAATAAGTCTTCAAAGTGGAGAAAATTCATGTCTCACATCGATGCAAGATATATTTTCTCCTAATTGTTTAATCCCACTCTAATCGAACTCGAAGGAATCTCCATTAAACAGCCACATAAAATTAAAAACAATGATCTAAAGTTTTATTAATCAAAGACGGTTTTTACATGTTTCAGAATTTATTATTTATAAGGCATCAAACACTAAGATCGACATTTGTTGAAATTTGGTTGAAACAATTGTTGAAATTTCGTCGAAGCTCTGCATGAAGTTCGATACATAGGCACGATAGAGATTCCAAAAAAAGTTTACATTTGAGGTTCCAGGTAGATAATATAGAATCAATGGAAACCAGAATGAGAGCATGGCAAGGATTGTACCAACGCTGAAGAAACTGGCAACGAGAACATAGCACCGGTGGGAGAGAAAGGAAAAAAAATACAACAGCGTGAATCATCCAAATCATAAACCAACAATTAAACTTGTATGCCAATAGCTCATGAACTAACAAGCAAAAACCATCGATGGACCTAGGGAAATTCCAGCAACTTGAATAAATCCAAACAAACCACTATGACTTCAAACGTAAAGAACACATCTCATTCTTGTAGATAGCATCATCATAGGCATGCACTAAACAAGTTGAAAATTTAAATTTCAAAAGAAAAAAATAGTCTTTAAATCATCAAATTATTATTATTCATCTCAACACACTAGATTCACTTTTGTGGTATGCGTAAAACTTCAAATATAATTCAAATATGGCAAACTTGGAAAGAATTCAACTCTGATGAATTGATCTTTAATGTTCTTCATGCAAATCATGACATAAATATTGTGTTTCTTGTATTGTATTCCGAGAATCAGCATAAATACATCTATTATGTTAGTCAGACATTTTTTTTCTTTAGAATCTATCATTAATAGTGGACACAATTTTGTAATCTAATATAATTTTAGAAACAAGCAGTGTAAAATTGTCTAGCGAAGTATTGGGTTTGAACTCATTAGGATATGGAAAAAGAGAATAATTCAAGAAATTGATAGTAGATAAATGAAACAAGTTTAAATAAAGCACATTGAAACTTGGATTAATGTTAGAATTTTCTAGAATTTGTAATTTGTATGCTTGAGTTTGTTAGGCAGGTCATTGGACCAATCCAACTTGTACATATGGGACCGTCTCACGTAATAGAGGCGAACATAGAAGAGCTGCACGCTCTGTCCAGTTGGCAGCAGGAATTGGAAAGTTTTTGGAGGGATTTAGGAAGGAAATTTAAAAGTTGGGGCTGTTTAGAGATTTTCTTTTGAATTTTATGTATTAAGTAGTATGTTTTACTAGGATTAGAGCATCATGAATTTGGCTAAATTTGAGATTTATCTTAGTTTTTGAGCTCTAGCGGCGTCTAGAGATTTGGGAGAGATAGATCCTCCTTTCGAATTAAGGATCACTTGTATCTTGTTATTTTCTTCCTTCTACTACTAAATCAAGAGTGTTTTGTTGGATTTTCCTCCACTAAATCTTCGGAATCTGCTTGGCAAGATTGTTGAAATTTTGATTCAAGCAATTCTTTACTATTTCTTCTATTATTCCTTATCAAATTGATATCAGAGCGGTTTTCAGACTGTTTTTGGGCTTTTTTAGGAGAATTCCTATAGCAATTTTTTTAAAATATATTTCAGGCTGTAATTTTTGCTATTTTTGTGGTGGTCGAGCCTAATAAAGATCCGGGGACTTATGACGGGAAGAAAGGTAGAAGTATTAGAAGAGGAGATCGGACAAATGAAATCTTAAATTTCAAATCTCAAAATTCAAGTTTCAGATTAAAAAAAAGGATATTTTAGTCATCCATGATAAAGATTGATTCAAATTTTTTTGTCCTGGAGGAGATGTTGAAGAAAATGCTTGAGGGACAATTCAAAATATCACCGTTGGAGGTGAGGGAAGGCGCCGACAGCCAGGGAAGTGGGGAAAATCCTAAGGCAATCTGACGAAGGGAAGATTAAGAGGTGGAGATTTTGGAGGGAACATAAAAAATGCCTCCCGTTGGGCCTATTCTTAGGGAGGAGTCGGGTAGAGGGTATGTGGGGAGGCATGAATGGAAGGGTGTTGAATTTGAAAGGAGGGGCATATATAATATGATTGAAGGGGTGCTGAATTTGAAGAGAGGTGGGCTTGCGATGAAAGATTTGGGTGCGAGAGGAGAAGGGATGATTGGCACAACTGGGGGGAACCACTCCCTTTGGGAATGATAAACTTTGGAGGAAATAGGGGTGATGGAGGAGATATGAGGGTGAGAAAATAGAAGATGCCAATCTTTCAGGGGGAGGATGCACACGGGTTGATCTACAAGGTAGAGAGATATTTATTCATCAATGGGTTGACGGAGGAGAGACTGACGACAGCTGGCCTATGGTTGGAAGGGAAGGCTTTGGCTTGGTATCAATGGAGGTATATGCGACGAACCATACGGAGCTGGAGGGAGTTCAAGGATTGCTTCTTGTAACAGTTTCGAACCGGCAGGGGAGGAGACTTCTATGAGCAGTTCTTCGCCTTGACATAGGATGGGTCAGTGATAGAGTATCAGGATAGGTTCGAGTACCTTGCTATCCAGTTGGACCGCCTTCATGAGACCATGCTAGAGGGGAACTTCATGAAGGGACTGAAATTAGAGATCTGAGCAACGCTTAGAGTGATGAGGCCACCTGACTTAGGAAAGGTTATTGAGCTAGCTCATTTTTGGAGTAACATAGACACCTAGAGAGGAGCAAAAGACAACAACTCTGGAAGCTCGTACAGGATGACCACCACCTTTTTGACACCTAAGGAGCCGACACCGGATACTCTTCGGGAGACTCAAAAGGGGAAGATTGTAGGTGGAAGACCCCGGAACAACATCAAGAAGCTCACAAAGATTGAGTTATAGAAGAAGATATCAAAGGGGCTCTATTTCAAATTTGAGGAGAGGTGTACACTGGGGCGTAGATCTAAGAACCGAACTCTTCTGGTTCTCACTGTTGGTGATGACGAGGAAGCTGAGGTGCATGACATCTTTCCACCTTGTGGATAAGGTGGGTCTTTGGGAGGTGGGTATTGTTAGACCGGTCCCTGGACAGGTCTAGCCAGTCCATACAGAACCAACTCATGTAATAAAGGCGGACACAGAAGAGCCGCACACTCTGTTCAGTTGGCAGCAGGAATTGGGAAAGTTTTTGGAGGGATTTAGGAGGGAAATTTCAAAGTAGGGGCTATTTAGAGATTTCCTTTTGAATTTTATGTATTAGTATGCTCTGCTAGGGTTAGGGCATCTTGAATTTGGCTTAAATTTGAGATCTCTCTTAGGTTTTGGGCTCTAGCGATGTCTAGAGATTTTAAGAAGATAGATCCTCCTCTCGATTAAGGATCACTTGTATCTTGTTAATTTCTTCTTTTTACTATTAAATCAAGAGTGTTTTGTTGGATTTTCCTCCACTAAATCTTTAGAATATGATTGGCGAGATTGTTGAAATTCTTATTTCAGCAAATTCTTTATTGTTTCTTATATTGTTCCCTCTCAGAGTTTCAATGCACTCAAATATTTTAAATGACCTTGCCTTTCTTCCATTTAATTTTTTAAAAGGTTATTTATGGATCTTTTTTGAAGAAAATTAATTCAAATAATTTAAATATTAATTTTGATAAATTTTGTTCCTTTAGAATTGGCCAAATGATGTAGTTTTAAATTGCACATTTTGTTTAAGACATTCATCATTAACAAAATTTTTAAAGTATTGAGGCAACTTATCTCTGCGTAATATTTTTTGTTTTTTATGAATTAGTGCATCATGGAATCATGAACAAAAAAATGATGTTAATTTAAATAGGATAAATTTTTATACGAACAATATTGTAAGATAATTTATCAATGGTTGTAATAATGGATTGCTCTTTCAGTTCATCAACTAAAGTAGATATGATTTTTTCAGTTTTTTTGTTCACTCATAGTTTAATTTCTATTGAAAGTTCACAAGTAGATTTGATCTTATGCCAGTTTTAATTTGAGACTCAAAATTTCAACTCTACTATTTACATGTAGATCAAATTCATGAATCTCTTCCAATGTAGATGGAAATTTAGATTCATCATCAACTGTATATATTCATATAATAATTGCAAATCATCTTTTGCGTCTAAAATATTCTAAAAATGAATATTCATGAACTACAATTTTGTCCATATGATTAGATTTTGCTATACATGATTCTTGTATTGATGTCCAAGTGATATGCTTTAGAGGAGATGATTTGATTTTTCTATAGGGACATTAATCATATGTTTGATAGTTCTATGAAAATAATTATAATATTCTTCAATATCTAAGGATATGCACAAGGCATTATGTAATTCCTTGGTGAATTATAGCTTTGTTGTATTTAATTTCTTGCTTAAGACCTTTTATAAAATAAATAATCACAGTATAATATTCTAAATATAAGTGACATTTAGCTACAAGGTTTGGAAACATTGTAGATTATTCAAACGCATCAAATTTGTCATTTAACAGATGTTTATACTCATGAAATGATAAGTATTATCTTTGAAGTTTATGTTTTATATTAACTCATGATGATTTATTAAGAACACCTTGCCAAAATGATTTTGCATATTTATTAGTTTCGATTTTAAAGATTCAACTCATTGGTAATCAAATGTTTTTCAAAATGATCTTTTAAATTATTGATCAAATTTTAAAATTTTCTACAATCATACCATCAATCAAATATAAGAGTACAATTTTGAACTTCACAATAATTACAATGCATTTGTTCAGAACTTTAATTTATTGATTTTGTTTAAGTTGAATCATTTATTAGTTTTTTAAAAAGTTATCATGCCCTATTTCGAGGTAATATTTTGATGCAAACACACGTTATGATATCAAATTGATTTAGGACACTTAACGGTCTAGTGTTCCTAATGAAACAAACCACATAAAAAAAAAAACGATTCATAAAATAAAGACCACGACTCTAAAACTATAACTTGATTCTATTTAATGGGAATCATTTATTAATTTTTTATTGATTCAATTAATATGGTTTATTTCTAGTTAATATTTTGGTGCAACCATAAGCTCTAAAAGCAAATTGATAACATATTGTATGATAAGGTTATATCAAATATCAACTTAGGGATAGACATAAGCAAATCATCCTTTAGATCATAATAGTTAATGGAAACAAAATAACTTATGATTTGTAGTCTAAAGAACACTAGTTTAGAACTTTAACTTGATTTTGTTTTATTGGAATCATTTATTACTTTTTTATTGATTCAGTTGTGCCTTATTTCTTGTTAACATGTTGATGCAACCATAAGTTCTACTGTCAAATTGATGTAGGATGCTCAAGGGTTTAGAGTTACTAATGCTGCTAGGATGTTGCACTGGATTTAAATCGCACAAAGGAAAGTTCTTTGACTAAATATCACTAAATAAACAGAATCCACTTTCTGTTGGTTATATATTTAAAAATATGATAAATTGAACCAAAAAAATAAATGAAATGATTGATTAAATAAATAAAAAAATGACTAGAAATTTGAAAGACAAAAGTTCAACAACAACAACAAGCCATTATCTGACTACGCAGGGCCGGCAAGTTTTTTCCTCACTTGAAAGCAATTATGACAAATTTGACAAAGAATAGACTCACAATACTAATAACAAATACGGGAAAAGAAAAAGGATTTAGAAGTCACCTCAGTGGAGACAATTTGTGTGCCATATCGATACAAGGAAATCTCTCTATCTAAAAGTTGTCTATCATATTTGTAGTCACTTGAAGGAATCCAAAATCTCACAAAACCATACAAGATTGAAAATATGAATCTAATACTTTATTGATCAAAAGCAATTTTTATTGGCCTTGAAATTTACTGTTTATATGACATCCTAATCGTGAACTAATGATTGATCCAATTTAGCTACAACTTGTGAGCCATAAACAAATAATCCTAACAGCATAAATCATTAATTAATTTTGAAAATTCTAGCAACCTGAATCAATCTAACCGAACCAAGGGAACATATAGTTATGTATCAAATACATCCTGTTCTTAGTGGATAACATAATCATAATCACTTTCTAATTAACTTCAAATTTAAATGTCAGCAGAAAATAAAACAATCCATAAATCATCAAATTACTAATTTGCCATCATAATGCACCAGGTTTATGCTTGAGATGAATGTGAACCCTCAGATATCTATCTAAACTTACCGCGAGAACTCGGCCTCAACTTCTTCCAAATCACTACATTGAGCTATTTTGGTATGTAGGAGGGTTTCTAAGTATGTCTTGTTCATGCATTGTGTCATATTTATCGAGCTTGTGCTTCATAGTCACCACACTTGCATTCATATAATACATTATAGGGAAATATGGACTCTTTATTGCGCTAGTTTTTTTTGCTATATCTTTTCTCCAATTTATCCAGATTCTGTGTTTTGATTTTCTTGAAGCATCTCTTGGATCTACTGAACAGCATAAACCACCTCTTTAGTTAATTAATTGCTTGAAATAATTACCAATGCAAAATTGACAATTCTAAATTTATTCCTACATGCAAAATAACTAAGATAGAAATGATTTATCCATTTGTTTCATCACTTGCAGTATCCACGCACACAGACCACGTTCACTGAAGACTTTGATTTCACAGCAATGAATGAAAAGTTTAACAAGGATGAAGTTTGGGGCCATTTGGGCAAAAGCAGACCCCACTCGAGCAACAATGAAGAAGATGATGAAGCTTATGGCTTCGAGGAAGAAAATGGGCAGTCTTCAGAACTAGATATCAAGGTAATGCTTTCCTTTCTCACGCAGTCAAACCTAGTCACTCCCTTGTCCCCCTCTCTCCCTATGTATGCGCTTGAAGTTCTTTCAAGCCTGATACTATGAATCCTTTTCTTCCATTAATGCTTTCTTGTTTTATTGATGCAGCCTGTTTATGTGAAGGATGACTTCTTCGACACCCTTTCTTCCAACAGCAACGACCAAACGAACAATGGGAGGATCAAGTTCTCTGAGCAGCTGAAGATTGACGCAGAGGTACATTAACGCTTCCTTTGAGACGGCTTTTTTATTGCTTCTTAAAGTAGCTTTAAGAAGCAGTAAAAAATCCATCCCAAACAAACCCAAGCTGTGTTCCTCCTACACTCTTTTACCCACCCCGCATTAACAATTTGTCTCAAATATCAAATATTTTTATTTTCCATTTCAGACTTTCGGTAACTTTTCGAGGAACCGATCTGCATACAGAGGAGGGCGAGGTGTTCGGGGTGGCCGGGGGAGGGGCTCTTACTATGGTAGGGGCTACGGCTACTCTGGGAGGGGAAGGGGGCATGCTGGTACGAGCCGAGACTACTAGCAACTTAACTGCAGGTTCTATGTTAGCTTTCCTGTTATTCAGTAGTGGTTGAAGTGCTATTTCTAATCTTATTACTGGGAAATAAGCAAAATAACTAAGATGTTTGTCTGAAATAAATGCTAGCCATGGCTATCTCATCAGAAAAGCCTGAGAGTATATTTGTGTTTGTGATTTGCATTTCTATTGCAAATTTGGTCTATTTGGTGGAATGTCTTCGTCAAACGTTAATATATTTGAATTAGTTTATGGTGTTTATTTTTCTTTTGCTTTATGATTGGTAAAAAGTATATAAATTTTCCTTTGCTGGGTGGTATCGCTGAGGTTTTTCAGTACAAAGTTTTGTTTAGTGAGATATCTTTATTTAAAGGAGCAGCCATTAAAAAATTGTGATGGAATGGTATTGACTGCTTGCTTAAATAATTTTCTATCAGCAACTTTTTGACCGCATAAAAAAAAATGTAAAGCTTATTCAAATGCGAGACGTTAACTCTGCCTTTTTCTTTTATTTCAGCTAAGTTGTTATGTTTTTGGTTCGTTTCATGTATAAGTAGTAGCGATGGGTATTATACAAATATTCAGCTTTTAGCTTTCATTAGAGCCAAAATGGTGAAATTTAGGCTTCGTTTGGGCGGCTTTTCTAATGCTTTTTAAACCAGTTTTTTAATATAAAAATTTTTAATTCAAACAAATTTTGTATTAAAAATTTCTTTTAAAAAATTGTAAAAAGTAGTCCCAAATAAAATCTTAAGCTATTAATTTAAAAATGTGGAATGGTTAGCAGATTTGAACTGAAAACTTTTTAATTTTTCGTATAAATTTGCAAAAATTTATATAATATAACCTTGATGTATGCGAATATATAATAAAAATTATGATTGTTAGGATATTATAAGGCAATTGATCTCTTTGAAGATTATTCTTATCAATTGTTTGGGAAAGACAGCTTTCATATATTTTCTTAGACTTAGAGATACAGAGATCTATAGGTGGCTATGAAAGGTGGAAGCCTTTCTTTTTGGGTAATAAGTTTGGTTCACATTCTATGTTTTTAATTTATTTGTTTATGATCAATATCATTATTAGCAAGTTAATGAGGTTAGCATATTTCTCTTATATTGTGAAAATGGCACTAATGCAATGCTAAACCCTTAGTTACTTTAGGTTTTAATAATAATCATTAGTCGAGCTCTATTAATGCTTTTTATTTGTCAACTGTCACCAACTAGTTTTTATTTTTATTTTTTTTTTGTTTGAGTCATCTTGCATTGTGCTAAGTATGTGGTTTATGAAACAACCAAGTACATAGAGATTAAAATGAAGAAATTTGGAGTTAGTTAACATAATTAATTTATGGCAGATCATACTATGTGACTTGGATCATACTCTATAATAAGCATGGTATTTTTAGCAAATTTGAAAAATCAAGATGCATTAATTAACAAGAAATATAATTAAATTTGTAAAATTAATCGTATTGTATGGCTATGGTCGAACCATATGATCATTTATAATCAAGATCAAATAAACATGTATATGTTCTTTCCTTAACTAGTTAAATTCAAAGAGTCAAGAATCTAGGACAACACTTAAAATCAAATAAAGAAAATATCATATTGTACGACCCATATTATACAGTTTAAACAAACAAGGATTATGCTAATAGGATCCAAAACTTTACATATTGATTGTATGTCATAGAAGTGGTAAATAATTAATCATTTTGTACGATTAACATCATACAATCTGATTGAGTAGAAAGAGGTTTTTATGTTTTTCAGGCTGGTTGTACTAATTGTACTGCATTATTTGTGGATTCGAAAGTACGGATCAGACTATAGATAATCTTTATGAACAACTTTTCTAGGGTTTCTAAAGAAGCACTTATAAATATTTTTATCTAAGAAACCTTGGAGAGATTTTCTTAGACTTTCAAGAGATTTTTGTGAGACTAGTATGAAATTTTCTATCTTTTGAGATTTCAATCATTTGAAGAAATTTATGCGTGAGGCTATAATTTGGATATTTTTAAATCACATCATTATTTTCCTCTAATTTGAGATTTTGAAGCTCTTGGCAGAGAGTTTCCTGAGTCTTGTTGTAGAAATAGTGGAGACCTTTGTATCTTATGGAACTAGTTGGAGTACCTAATGATTGTATATTTTTTGAAGAGGAAAGTGGTGTAAATGGTGTCTCCATTACTCGTAAAGGAGAGATGTGTCTCCACCATGCCAGAAGTAGAATGAGAGAGTGGTATAAAAGATTTCTTCATTTCCCTTTGAAGGAGAAAAAAGGTTTAGTAGAGGGCTCGGGAAGTGGATGTAGGCGGTTAGTTCCAACCACTATAAATCAATTTATGTTTCTTTTTCTTTTTATTTTTATTCATTGCAGAACCACTTTAACGTGTGGAAATCTCTTTTTTGTTATGATATTATGATTCTGATGAAAATTTGTGACTCACTAGAAAATTTTTAATTGGTGTCAAAAAGAATCATTTTAAAAGAAAAATTATAATTAATTTTAAAAGACAAATCATAATTAATTCCTTAAGCATAATTCTTGGAAAAAATGATATATTTTATTCAAAAGAAAATTTTGTTTTATTTATTTTTCTCAAGAGACTTAAGATTAGTGTTTAAGCTTTCATAAAATAATTATAATTTTAAAGACACTCTAATTCAGCCCTCTCTTGGGTGTGGCATAAATTTTTAATTGGTATCAGAGCAGTTGCTTTCTATATAGGGTTAAACATTTCAAGTAGATTCCAACTATGATACATTATGAAATTTGGAATAGTTGGAATGATATTCAATCACTTGATCGCCACTATTCAATATCATTGCTTTTCACTTTTAAAAGTGTTAATGACAATCTTCATACAATCATTTGGCTATAGGATGTGAAACCTAGTATAGATAGGACACACACCACCGTATATGGTAGAAAATGGGATAAAGATTGAACTTCCATTTAGTGAATCATGTTCTAATGAATGGAATCAACATAACTCAATTTTAAATGCTTAAAATATTTCTTTTGTGCATTAAAATCTGAGGATTATATATGCGTTTCTACTTGCACAATAAGAAAAAAAAAAGGGATAGATTATGTATTACATATGATGGGATAAATGAAGTAAAATAATCTTGTATAAACATCTTATTACATGATTATGCATGCAACTGAATGATTTTTTTTTAAAATTATTACTTAATTGCATGCCTTAGATAAGGATTTAACTAATGTTGAAAATGTTAACAAAATATTGAGAAGTCTATTTGAATCTTGAAATGCTAAGGTGATAATTATTTATGCATCTAAAGATTTAGCTACTTATTCTATTGCTTGGATCATTGATAGCATATGAATAAAAGGATATCAAGATTTAAGCTAATGTAGGTGAAAGAAAAAAAATAGAAGGTAATACCACTAAAAATGAATGAGATTAATAATAGGGATTCAAAATTGCTGATGATGAGGATATAGCACTAATGATCAAACAATTTAGAGCCTTCTTAAAGAACAAAAAAAGAAGGCACAACAAGAAGTGGAAGGAAAAAGGTTAATGAACCATCTTCTCATATTATTTGTTTTGTTTTTAAAAACCAAGTTCACCTCAAGTGGGAATATCCCAATCTCAAGAACTAACCACAAAAGAATGGATTGAGAAAAAAAGGAGAAAGTAAGAAGAATAGAAGAAAACCTTTGTGTACTTTTTCGATAAATTCAAACTCATCAACAACTGAAGAAGAGAAACATGTCAATAATTTGTGCATAAAACCACGTGAATGAAGAATCATGTGACTTTGATAGTGAGCAGGAATATGATTTTTTCTGATGAATTTTATCTTTTTTTTTAAACAATAACATACTAGTAATATGAAATTAAAGAAAAAAATTACTTAAAAAAAGGATTTGTGCACTTTGCAAGATGAACACACCAGTTTGTTATAAGAGTTTGAAAATGTAAAAAATGAGTTAAATAAAAAAGCCATCATGCATACTAAACTTCTAAATGCACATAGTATATTAGAAGTTTAAGACTTGCATCTACATGAGGTTGGGCATTGACCTTCAAATCAAGATAGAAATTATAAAATGTTAAAATGAAGATTTAAGAAAGGAAGTTGTAGAACTAAGAAAGCTTGCATATAGTTCTACACTTATTTATTCTTCATCTGCAAAGGATCCCACTACATCACTTTCTCTCTCTCTCTCTCTCTCTCTCTCTCTCTCTCTCAAGTGGTTTACATTGAATAGATTAATACATTCTTTTCCTAAAGCTTTTATTAATGTGGCATGGTAGGACATATCACATGTGTTTGCACACATAGATTCCATCGTAGCGCTCACTATAAATGGAGGCCTAAGGCCTTTAGGATATAGTATAATACACATTCATTTCATAGCATTTGGAGAACCAAGTTAATTTGGGTTCCTAAGGTCAATCTTAGTATGCATTGTAGATGTTCTTTCTCAAAAGGTTCATTGAAGGCATGTGGTATATGTATAGTGGATGCTCATGACCCATGACTAGAGACAAAAGAAAGTTCATTGCACTTGAGTCTAGAAATGGAATACAACATGAAAGTTTATTTGTTCATGTATTGTTGGTAAGGTTTACTCATTTACCTTTGAAAATGTTTTACATGTTGATGGCCTAAAATATAATCTATTAAGCATTAATCAATTACGTAATAAAGATTTTGATATTAACTTTTGTCTAAAAAAAGCTTGAATGCTATGAATGGTAAAATTATTTTAGAAGGGTTGCTTATTAATAATGTTGTCATGCTTGATTTGGACTATTTGAGTAAAATAGAGAAGCCTATTATCTAAAAATCTTATTAAACAAGTCAAAATTATGGAAAAAAGATTGTGTTATGCTTGTATGAATATATTAAGGAAAATCACACACCTAAAATTAATTATGGGGTATTAAAATTAGAGTTTAATAATAAGCACTTATGTAATGCATGGTAGCTAGGAAAAGAAGTTCAGCCTCATTTCATTCAATTAAAGGCATAACCTCTAAAGTATAAACCACTATAAATATTGCATATGGATCTATTTGGACCTATAAGCATCACAAGTTTAAGAGTTGAGTCATCTAGATATGTAATTATAGTTGATTACACTATATCAACTACATTAACTTTTTAGCACCAAAAGGGTGATTTATTTTTTGAATTCAAATTACTTGCAAAAGAAGATAGGTTGCACTATATCCATTATTTATAATGACCATGGAGGAAAATGTAAAAAATGAGAA